TAGGTTCTCAACATACTAACGTACTATATAACGATTATGTCAAGTGAAAATGTTTATGCGGTTGTTTTATAATTTTAAACTGAATTTTCAGATTATAATCCTACTTTAAAGTTGCTGAAATTTTATGCTATAAGCTATATTTTCATGATTTTAACATACAAGCTTGTAATTGAACTTTGAATTATTAACTTTGGCTATTGTGAGCAATTTAAAGACATTATTTCAATGGTTTAAGGGGTTTTAAAGTAAGTTAGTATTGCTGTAAATTATATTGCTTGGATATTAATTGAGCTATTGTTGTTCTGTTTAGGAGAGGACTTTGTAGAAGGTGACTTCTAACCTTAAGGTGGCCAACCAATTTGTGTACTCAGGGTACGTATAAGAATGCGAGGAACCTTGATTATAGGAGCATGTTTAGGGACTTGGAAAAACCTAGAATCATGCTAGGGAACTGGTGGATTGGTTGAAATTGTTTGGTAATGAGTTGTTTGATGATAAATGCGATGATTGGTTTAATTCATGTGTGAGAAATTTGCATTGATTTTTCCTTATGAGCATTATTTATGCAATAATTTGCAAAGCGAGCTTAGAGGCAAAGTTACAAGGATATATATGGAATGAATTATTTTGGTTACTTGTTCATTTATATTGAAATGGAATGAGTAAAGGAAGAATTAAAGTCTTATAAGTCAAGGTTGAGGATTTGAGGTGCCTTATGCACTTAAGGTGTTTATATACCGAGGTAGTTAAAGGATTCAATAATAAATATTGATTGTCACTAAAAAATTAAGAATTGAATTGGAAATTTGAATTGCTTGAGTGATTAATGTTTGATTGATTGTATTATTTTTGCATTAGAGTCATCACCAAGTTTAAATTGGTAAATCACGTAAACTGCAAGAAGGATGAGCAATAAAACTCTGGATTTGTGCACATCTAGAGTAATGACAAATAGGGGTTGGGGTTCACGGGGTATTAGCCGTGTACTTTTCAGAGGCCGTCTGATCTACGAGTCTCTTGTTTTAAATTCTCTTAAAATTATAATGAGTTAGATGATATCTCATACTAGCTATGGCCACGGAGTCGCGCCCGTCTGCCATTGGATGTTTATTAATGTCTTCCGAAAGGAGGCATAAGGTTTTCTTTTATTAATGTTCCGAAAGGAGGCATAGGGGGACAACCCGGTCAATCGCTTAATCCAATCAAATTAATGAAATGATCAATGCTATTTAGTGAAAACTTAGTACTGTTTAACAATTGAGTCATGTGTTCGAGTCAATGATTATATTGTGAGTGTACAGAATGCTTGTTAGTAACATGCTAGGGCTCTTTACTATTTTTCGTAGCTTGTATGTATTCAGTGTTGTTGATTGCGTGCTTTTGTATGTTTTTCTTGGTCATGGCCTTCGCCCTTCAATGACCCTGTAATGATCCAATTCTTACACCTGTAAAATTGGGGAGCAGATTAATCACAGGTTTTACACAACTGAACTTGCATCAGGGTGATGGAATTTTGAGTGGAGCGTTGGTTAATCTCTTAGCTTATTTCATTTCATAAAATGATTTATTCTGACATTTATTCCATTTACTTCCTATTTTACTGGGTTTTGAATAAGGGTCGTTATGGTTCCAACTTGTAAGACTAAATTTGGTTTTGATTATTAGGTTTGAAACTTATATTCTTTTTTTTAAAACTAAGTTAGTTTTTCGCTGCTGATTTCTGAAACTAGCCTTAACGTTTGAACACGTGGCGGTAGCACGTCAGTAATTCTCTTACAGGTTACTAAAGGTATTTACAGGTTATTACAGGTGAATACAGGTTTTAAAAAGAGAATTACTGGGGTGTTACAATCTTCCGCCACTTACCATTTACCAATCTCTCTGCTGAATCTAAATTAAGTTGTAGGCTTTGACTTTCACACAGTTGTTGATGGCTCGACTCCGGAAACAGCTTTGCTATAGGGGCAAAGAGTGTTAGGTTTACAGTGAACTTCTAACTAGAAAACACTTATAATATCAAGAAATACTTAATAAAATGTGTGGGAAACAAAACCTAAAGATATATAATTACAAAACAAAGTAATGTAATTAAACAAACACAACAATGGTGTTCCAATCAAGTATTATTATCTAGAAATTACAGAAATTTCAATAGAACACACTAGTGAGAAGATTAATTACACTTGCCTAAACTCCATGCCGAAGAACCACACATGAACATGAGAATCAAATTGCCCCTTGAGACTTCGATCTTGATACACCGTCAAAGGCGTATGAATACTTTCCTAAAGGGATTAATTTCCCCCACACGGTGCTAGGGTTAATCCGGAAATTCCCTTTGAGATACAATTGACAGCTCTTTCCGTTCTTAGCACAAAGAATCGAAAAACCGATGGATGATTCACAAGAAAGGCTAAAATCAAGAAGTTTTCTCAAAATAGTTTGCAAGAAAATTTAGAGAAAAATGGAGAATTCTTGGGGAGAAGATGAGAGAATAATGTTCTGTCTCCTGCTTTCGAAAAAACTCATCCTATATAAAATAGAATCAACCGTCGCATAAAACCGCAAAACGGCAAGAAGCGCGGGCGCGAGCGAAGCGGCGCGGGCGCGCCACCTTCTTTTCCTAAAAACTTCGATTTTTCCAGAAAGTTAGCGCGATTTATGCGCGGTTTGGGCGCGGGTCGCGCCATCCCATGACGCGGGCGCGCCAACCGGAGGCGCGGGCGCGCCTCCAAACTTTTCCAGATTTTCCAGAAACTCATCGCGGTTTTGTCGCGGATCGCGCCTAGCTGGCGCGAGCGCAATTCCATAGAGCGAACGCTCCACTCCGACACTCTAAATTATTAACAAAGAGACCTCCCTCACAATCACTGACGATGGCTGATGGCTGAACATTTGAGCCGACGTAATTTCTCAACTTCTCTAACACCCAATAGTAACTCGCAGCCGTCTAATCCTTGATGACTGCATAACCAATCAGAAAGTTCTGGTTTGTTGGAGCCATCCCAACCATCTCAACCAGTGGGAACTTGTACTTGTTTGTCTTGTATGTTGAATCGATCAAAATTACAGATGGCCAAGACGTGATCATATCAGCACAATGAAGATGCACAAGGAATAAATGAGTCACCTCCGATGTGTCTTCATCAGATTTAAACCAGAACTGGTAACCACTTGCTTGTGCCTGGTGTAGAAGCTGCTGTATAGGGTTCCTTCCCTCTGACCGTTCAAACCTCAATTTCTGTCTGACGTTGTAGATGTGTCTTCGGTTGGCTGGTCTTCAGGAAATTTCTCTAACACAAATGCTAATATTTTAGCAGGCTTCACTTGAGCATCACTCATTTCTTTTACAACTAGTTTCGCAGTAAGACTTAGGCCTCTTAATTGTCGATGACCCACTTCATATACTATCATCTCATGGTTGTGATACCCCCATTTACCGTAACCCTTCACTTCCCAAACGTCACGACTTTGCTGTTGTCGAACCTTTACTCTGAACTGACACCCACAACCTTTCCGCTTTGTATCAAACCGAATCGCTTGACTGAAATCTCGTTCCTCCCTTTTGCGATCACGATCGCATCTCAAAATGCGATCCATTCTACCACCCCGTTGAGATTTATGACTTGCTACTACTAAACAAAAACCTGATCTAATTGCAACTTGTTTTGCCCAATCAATCGCTTGTTGAGCATCTTCGAACGGACCATCATGTACAAAAATCCCATTATAATCATTTCCGTCTCCACCATAATCTTGCAACAATGACATATAAATATAATTACATAAGGATTAAATTAATACATTTGACACAAAATTAACACAGAAGTAATTTCTAAATTTTAAATTTCTAAATTTCATTTCTATATTTAACGCATAATACATTTAATTTCTAAATTTACACATAATTAACACAAAATTAACACGTAATTATATATAAAAGTATTCACACACATACAAAACTAAAACATAAATTTGTTTATTTTTGAAATTATTAACACATATTAAAATATAATTTCAAATTAAACCATAATTTTGTTTTTTTTTTTATTTATTTTTTATATATTATTAACACATATTTAAAACATAATTTCAAATGAATTTTTTTTTTAAAAAAAAAAAAATTATTAACACATATTTAATTTCAAATTCATCAAAGTTAAAAAACAAAAAAAAAAAAAATAAAAAATTAACACATAAGTAATTTCTAAATTTTAAATTTCTAAATTTCATTTCTATATTTAACGCAGAATACATTTAATTTCTAAATTTACACATAATTAACACAAAATTAACACGTAATTATATACAAAAGTATGCACACACATACAAAATTATAAATTTGTTTATTTTTTGAATTTATTAACACATATTAACACATAATTTCAAATTAAACCATAATTTTGTTTTTTTTATAAATTATTCACACATATTTAAAACATAATTTCAAATTAAATTTTGTTTTTTTTTTAAAATTATTAACACATATTTAATTTCAAATTTATCAAAGTTAAAAAAAAAAAAAAAAAAAAAAAACTGTGGCAGTGGCACCAGGCCGGGACGCTGCCACCGTGGATGGGGTGCCTGGCCAGGACGCCGCCACTATGGTTAGGGCGATCCAGCCAAACGCCACTACCATGGTGGCAGCGTCCTGGCCAGGCGCCACACCCACGGCTGCGGCGTCTCGGCCAGACGTCCGCCACCCATTCGTAATTGTTAAACGTAGAGTACCTCGTTTTCCGGCGACGATGACGGCTCTCCGTTGTATCTCCCGACGATGACGGCTCTTCGGTGTCCCTCGGCGATTCAGTGCTGCTCCACATTTTTGGTGAGAGAAAATTTCGTTTTGGGTAAAAATTGAAAAAAGGGCAAAAGTGTCAAAGTTTTAAAAATCATGGGCTTTAAGTAGAGAATTGTGGGCGATTTTCCATAACTAATCTGCCCTCTCTTTCTCTCCCCTTTTTATTAAAAAAAAAAAAAAAAAAAAAAAAAAAAAGAAGATGTGCTACAATCACGAAGAAGAATGGCGACGAGAATACGACAATCACACGCCGCCACAATCGGCGGCCGCCGCCGTCGCGAGATCGGTGGCTCTTCTTGAGGATCTTAGAGCGCGTGCAGCAGAAACCGAATTCAGACTCCAACAAGCGAGGGCTAGGGAAGCCGCTCTTACTCGTCAACTTCATGAAACAAAACGCTTCGTTTTAGTCATGGAGATCATTGAATCCTACCTTCAACGACGCTTCCTTCAACAACAACAACTCCTCGCTCGCCTCCTCTCCCCTGTACCACCACCTGAATAAACTTTTTACCTTTTTCATTTTTTGTATATATTTTTATTTTTGATTTTTGATTTTTTTGCTTTATTGTTAAAATGAAAATTAGGGTTCTTGTTGTATAATTTATGAACTAATTTTATAAAAAATAATTTCTCTATCAGAATTTTGTTTAATTGTTTTTCAATTTAGGTGTGTGGGAAATTTAGGGGTTTTGTATGATTGTGATTCTTATGCTGTCAAATTTTATTGGTTTGAAGCAAAAAAAATCAAGTTAGCAAGCATGTTTAATTGATTTGAGCTCATTAGCTTATAATTGGAATGCTGTTGTGAATTTGTGATATGCAAATATGATGTTTGCTGACTTCATTTGGACTGCTCTTGTAATTTATTGTTATAGAAATTAGTCTAAATTCATTGATGTTGTGTGTTCTTCATTGTATTTTCTGCAAAGTGTTTCGTTGTCGAATCAAAGCATATTTGAGTTATTTATTCATCTACTTATAAAGTTATAATCCAATGGATGTTGTGTTATGTGAGTGGTCTTGGCCACTAAGTGTCAAGGAGTACAATCCATATTCATATAATCATATCATCATACATGTGAAATTATGAGCCATTGCTGTGTATATGTGCTCTCGTTATCTTCTAGATTACTTCGATTATTCAATTGTTAGTGCTGTGATAATATTAAACCTGAAATTGTGTTTTTCTTTCGCATTTGTATCCTACATATATGAATTAGGATCATATTTACATTGTATGTTGAGTTATTGTTTTGAAACAACATTAACAGGTTTTGAAGCGAGCTTGAGCCATTGTAGATAATAAATCTGGTTGATTGATCATGGCATATTGCATTGTAACGAATAAGATCTGTGGCCGCCACGTTTATTTGTCAAACCTGTGAGTAAAATACAACTATTTCACGCTGATATGAACTCTTACTTTCATTTGTGCTGCTAATTTGCTGCTAATTCTGATACCAATCCTCTGATTCCACTCTTTGAAGTTGCAACTACGATTTTATTTTACTTCTGCTTGATTCCTGATGCTTCTCTTGAAGTTAGGTGCAACATGTTTGAGAATTTGTGGTAATTTTAGGAATTATAATGCATATAAGTGGATAAAAACACTGTGTGTTCAATTTAGTAGTATTTTTGTTTATGGATGAAGGAAGTTAAAAGAAACTATCTCGTGGTTCCTAAATTGGGAGGCGACATCACAAATTTTGCATATGTCTCTGTTTTTTTTAGTGTTCCAACATAATTTGTGCAAGGGTGAAAATTACTAGTATTCCCCCCCCCCTCAAAAATGTGTTTTCCACTTGTATGAATCATACTGCATGTAATGCACAATACTGTGTTAAATGGTCTGAAGATGTGTATGAGTTTGTGTTGGATATTTGATAGATTTTCAACTTTCCCCTTGCACAACTATATTGGTGATGTAATGACAATTGTAAACTCTGCAATGGTCCGATTGCGTTTGGTGTTAGTGAAGGGCACATTGGTACTAGGATGGTATCAACTAAACATAGCTTGGTATCATTGAACGTTATTAGAATCATTGATAGCTCAAGCTTTATACATGAGAAAATACAAGTTGATCTTATTATCCTAAACGTTTTGTTAAACTATAAGATTATGTCATATCCTATATTGAGGGATTAAATCATGTGATAGGACTCTGCTATCTTGAAAATCCAAAGTTGCACTTAAAAGACAATTGAAGTTTGGAGGAGGGTATTGTTGAAGACTCCTAATTTTTTTACCACAGTAGATTTATCATCTTAACTTTCGGATGAATCGGATCAACCATTGGGTATGTGATGGAATTGATTCGCATTTCTAGACATATTCACGTCAGTTTTTGGATTTTATATACTTCTACTTTAGCCAAAGAAATTAGTTTAATGTGATGGAATAACTTTTATTTTTTGCATGTCACTTAAAAAGTTGTTATCCAAATTTGATTGATTCAACCCCACTTTCTAACTCACTAGCTTAAATTCCTCTTTTATTTGATTGTGCAAGGCAATTTTACTTTGTCCTACCAAGTTGGGATAGTGATTTTTACTGATTAAATCTTCATTTATATTTTTACGAACTTAACTCTGTCTTCAAACAATATGTAAATCGAGAACGTAATTTATGTATTTTATAATATAAAACTTTGCGTTTATTAAAACATCTTCTCAATGTAAAAGTTTAAGAATGTGTCTTATATACTTCCCTAGATTTAAAGTGTGATGTACGCTCATAATTTCCAATATTAATAGATAGTACGAACTACTCCATAATATAGATCTTGGTTCTTGGATTATTTACTAGACTTAACAAGTAACAACTCAATCCGTACGATCCTACCGAAACTAAATGACTCAAAGTGAAACCGACTTGAACTATAGATGAAGGTACAAGTAATATATTTTCCAATTTTTTGCATAATAACGTTCTATACCTGAACCAAAAGACTTCTCATCTGAATTTGATTTGGTCCGAGTCCAAAGCAAAACCACCCACCTAGGGTCCGCAAGATTCTTAACCGCCCCAATCTTCCAACGGCACAATAAGTACTTTTATCAATAAAACATGTTTTTTTCACAGTTCTACTTCCACTAGTTTCTTCTACTTTCATTTGTAACAACCAACTGATAAACAGTTTTGCAGGTTAGAAAATTTGAATAGGAACATGCTACAAAACAAAAAGTGGCAAATTCAAAAGATAGAATAAGAAATCAAAGATGCTCTCATTATCAATTTCCTCCCTTTTTCTCTCCTTCCTTATAAACTTCACTGAGCCACCAAACACACTTCATAATTACATGCCACCATTTCCTAATTATGTTGCTAATTCACATTATTATTAACTCTTTTGCTTGATTTTTACTCTTTCTTCAAAATCATTCCTTTTCATACCTCAATTTTAGCACAGTACCCCAGTTCAAATCTTCAAGTGAAGCTTGAATTTAAGCAATACCCAGTTGAGAAAACCCAGAAATGGTAACTGGGTCAAGCTCAAAAGCCATGGATAAGTCTAAAAAGCAAAAGGGCACAAGTTCGAACCCTACCAACGACGTAAAAATTGAGACATTTGTTCCAAAGAGAGATCATGACCCAAGAGATTTAAGATCTTGGGCTAAAAGAACTGGGTTTGTCTCACTTTTCTCTGGTGAATCAACTGCTTCAACTTCAAATACTAGGAATAATTTAAGGAATGAAAGAGGTGGGAATGATTCCATTGAGGAGAGAGAAAATGATGGTGATTTGAGTAGAAAAAGAGGGAAAAGAGATGCTGAAAGTGATGGAATCCAAAGGAATGGGAATGGGAATGAGGAAAGGAGGGGATTCAATGGAAATGCAGATGTTTTGGATTCTATAAATGAGGAAAGAAGAGTTGGGGTAGATGAGAATGGTGATAATGGAGGTGGGAATGAAGTTCATGAAGGTCAAAATTTGGAATTCAATGGTGAAAATGAAGTGGGTTTGTATGGTAAATCCCCTAATTTAGAAGACCCAATTTTAGGAAGACAGCCTAGGGCTTTCAAAGTTAAAAGTGGGATTTTGGATAATCCTGGTTTTGGTGAGTATGTTGGTTTTTTTTGTTATTTGTTGTATAAGTTTATAATTTTGCCTAATTGCTTCATACTTAGAAGTTATTGCTCCATATTTATGAAATTATAAATTAATATATGTCATTTGTAGGAGGAATTTGAATAATCAGGCATGATTCATGCTATAAATTGGAATATGACAAGATAGAGTATTGGTGGCTTTCTGTATGTCGGCGAATATGTTATTGTAGAATTTAAATGAGGAGGTAGGGATAATAGTAAGATAGAATGACTTGTTAATTGTTAATAAGAGATGGCAGGACCTGAGGCATGATGTTCTGTTGAAACTTTGTTATCTTTAGAAAGAAATGTTGTTTTATTAGAGCTTCAAATAGCATTGGGTGAGCCTTTTGTATTAGACGAATGAATTAAATGAGACGAAAAGTTGTACTTCGTGTATTAGTCACACGGTCCTTGGATTCATACATAAAAAAGCTTACCTGTGTTCTGTTCTATCAGTTTTATTATCCAAGGATTTAAGCATGAAACACTGAATCTATTGAGTTAGCCAGCAAGGTGCCTTTCATATTTTCATATCATCATCATCATCTTTACGCCATTGTAGTTTTCTTCTTGTGAGATTACTATCTTGTTTGTATAGAGTGTGACTCATATTTGGTTCTTTGTATGGCAGTTCCAGTAATCTATTATGGTTTCCAGCATTATTTCTCAATTGCTGGTTCACTTGTTTTGATACCTCTTATAATGGTACCAGCGATGGGTGGGACTGATGTAAGTATCTTGTTGCTTTTGTCTAGAATTATTACTCTGTATTTTGTTTATAAAGCAAGAGGAGTTTACTGATATGATGAACTTTGTATCTGAAATCAATTTGTTCTTCCATGTCTCAGAAAGATACAGCAAATGTAGTGTCCACAGTGTTGCTGGTGTCTGGCATCACAACGCTGCTGCATTCATTCCTTGGGACTCGTCTTCCATTAATACAGGGAGGCTCATTTGTATATTTGGCTCCAGCACTAGTTATTATGAACTCTGAGGAGTTTCGCAATCTTACACAGCATGTAAGTTTTGTTTCCTATTTTACTCCATATGTTTTAACCTGTAGACCAGTAGAGATAGGCAGATAGCAATATCTCCGTGTCTTCACTCAAATACACTTTGTGTAGGAGTAAAATGAAATTTGATTGTATCTTGTGAAATGCTCAGTAGTGTTTAACAGAATTGTTAGGGATATAGCGACATCCAACTCATTCCATGTAATATAGCTTATGAGTGTTTACCTGTCTGCCTCATTAATATGTGACCTAAGTCAACTTACTGGTTTTCATGAGATGAATTCTGTTATACAGAGTCCTGCTGTTACTCTTCATTTATTATTATTATTATTGCCATCCCAATGACGTAATTTTCTATTTTTATACCATTTAATGAAATACAGAAATTCAGGTAC